GGCGCACACAGGCTGGGGGGGGGGCTCCAGCCCGCTCCGAAGGGGCGGGCTCAGGGCGGGGCCAAGTTCTGGAAAGGCGGAGTCTGCGCAGGCCACGTCAGAGGAGGCGGGCTCAGGGAGAGTGGGGGTGTGCCCAGGCCACCTCAGAGGAGGCCGGCCTTGGGGCGGGGGCAGGGGAGGCGCTCTAGGGGAGGCGCGCTCTGGGAGGCGCGCTGCCGGGGAGGCGCGCTCTGAGGAGGCGCGCTCTGAGGAGGCGCGCTGGGAGGGGGGCGCTAGGCGCGCTCTGAGTTACTGCAGAGCAGGCGCGCTGGCTCGGATGGGCGGGGCAGGTTTGAGACTGGCTGCTACCGGGCTGCAGAGTCTGCACGCCTCTCCCAGGGTCCCCCCTCCCCAAACCCCTCCCACCGACCTCCAACATCCAGATTCATTTCATGCAGCAAGAGCAACCCACCCCCCCACACACACGCAGCAAACCGACAGTTTCCACAAACTGTTGCTGGCCGCCAATTCGCGCGCCACCGAGACAACTACACAGCCACTTCAATCAAGCACAACTAGGCAGGCAGCCTGATCTGCCTGCCCTCACCAAAAGTGAGCACCCCTCCACTCCACTGCTGTAGCAGGAATGGTGCGGGCAGAATGTTAAACATTAATTTCTGCCCGGGGCTCCATTTTGTCTAACAGCACCAACATGCAGAGATCCCGCTTACAGAATGGGAGCAATTCCAAAAGGCGAAAGGATGGGGTTCCCCTCTAAACATCAGGGATCATTCTGCGCCGCACCTCCTGTCCCTCTATAGCCGATTTCTAGCCCCGAACACTTGGCCGCTCATCTACCTCTATAGCAATTCCCATTTCATCGCGCATTCGAGGTGTACATTGCTCTGCAGCTCATGTACCTCTGCAGTGCCTGTGCCTTACAGCGCGTGAAGCGCTGTTACAGGACGAGTCCGATCTTTTCGGTAGCACCTTCGTGGTACCGAGATGCAGCCCAGAATTTGTAGCGCGCTCAAGGCGCAAATCAGTCTTCGGTGTGCAGCTCATCGGTCGCTGCGGTTCGTACAGGCTCGTAGCGCATGAAGCGCCAGCCCGTAGCGCAAGGAAGCGCCCATCAATCAGTTCATAGCGCATAAAGCGCGCATCAGCATGCAGCGCGTGAAGCGCCCATCCGTTTGCCGCGCGTGAAGCGCGCATCAGTTTATAGCGCACGGAGCATCAGTTCGTAGCGCGGCCGAAGCGCGTATCAATCTGTAGCGCGTGGAAGCGCCAACTAGTTTGTAGCGCATGCCACTTGGTAGCGCATCTGAAGAGCAAATTGGTCTGTAGCTCATGTGCGTCTGCAGCTCATGACCGTCCGCAGCTCATGTCTGTCTACAGACTATCGCTGGACTTGAGTCCTGGACACCGAAGCCTTGAAGGCTTGGTTTCCCAGTTTTGGGGTTCCGCCAGTGAAGGCGTGACAAGGTCTGCGTGGAGACATCCAGGGGCGCTAGTCCATCTCCCGCAGCTTCCGATAAAAACGGGTAAGGAATGTGGTCTTAAAAATAAAAAACGTCCTCACCGCATACTCACCACACGAGGACTCCTCTGCGAAGACGGGAAGGACGGGGTCCCACACCTGGCCGGGCGTGGGATCCACCGGGTGCTCGGCCGCTCGGGGCGAGCGGGCACGAGCCGCTCAGTGGACCGTCCGCGAGGCTCGGTGGACCTCTCCGCTGGTCGCCGTCCGGTGTCTGCTTCCTTCGACACACACCAACCGAAGTTGAAGCGCGTGTACCCGGGGCGCGGAGTGCGCTCCTTATATAGGCTGAACGGGGAGGGGGGC